GAATCAACGTACTCAGTACCAAGGATTTCCAACGTACTACGCCTTAAGCAAATGACTCAACGCAAATTTTTTACCATAATCGTAAACCTTTCATTAGTTCCAACATGGAAAAACAACTTTTCATAGACGAAGTAAAGACTGGATAAAAGAATGTACAAAAGATAATGGAAACCCAATTCTTTCAGTGAACAAAGTCACGATCACATTTGAAAAGACATCCAACTAAAAAACTTTTAATTTAATCTTAAAAACGAAAAAAAATTTGAGGAAAACTATTACTATGCTTTTTGAACAACTTCTGGTATTAGCCAAGAAATAAAATTCAAATAAACAGAATTCTGATGACTGTACCGATTACATCTGAACTTATCTGAAAAGAAAACTCCGCATTACCTATACTCATTCCTAGAAGAACGTTCATAGCTGCCTCGGCCGCCAGTGGCCTGACTCCGGCTACTTCCATATCGCGAACGAGAAGAATTGGTCGTTCGAGCTCCTTAAAATATCACTCAATAAAAATAATGTACTCGTCTAATGCGTTAGTGAAAGTGCATCAACGCACAAGAAATTTGCTTCCAAGTTGTAAATAAAACTTTCTTAAGAAGCACAGAATACAAGGAAGACTACATCTGGAAAAGTTATTTAGAACCTTGACTTTGTTGATAGGACACATATCTGCGAATATCCTTAAACCAAGAAAGCTCAACAGAATGTCCAAGCACTTCACTGTCCCTATACCTGCAAATTTAAAACTAATTTCATTTAAATACAAAAAGTTCTCGTCTGAGCTTCCGCAGCCACAACGTAAAAAAAGTTCTTTCCAGGCACAGGCATTAAATAATAAATGAATAAAAATCTGGCAATAAAATATTTTGGTCTTACGATGGCAGGATCAAATTCTTCTGGTTCTGAGCCACTTCCCAACCAACTGTGAAGCCCACACACTAAAACAATAAACAGACGTGAGAAATAAGCAAAACTTTACTTGTTCATGCATTCTTTCGCAGCCTCTCGAGTTTCGAAGCGAACAGCCACAAAAAGCTTGAGTTGATCCGGCGAAATTTTAATGAAATCGAAGGAGCAAGGTCCGATATGGTCCTCAAAAAAATCCCTGAAATATGATAGAGTGCACACTTCATTTTTCAAAAACTTGAAGCCTTTTGAATAATATACTTCACCATTGTGAACTAATGGTAAAAATAAAGCGTAGCTTCATATCACCAGGTTGCAGCAAACTTACACAAAGAAAATCTTAAAGTACTTCTTATCTCTTTACGTGGGAATGAGCAAAGACAAAATCTATTTATTTCGACTCACCAACTTACCATGTTCCATATGTAAACAGCAAAAATTTGCGTCATATAAGGCGATCAACTTGCAGAATGCAAATTAGTAAAAGCTCCATTTTGGTAAAACAAGAAAAACATATGCAGCTGATGAAGTGAGAAAACCAAAAGTTTTGGCAGTATAAAATAAAATCCTTTGACTAAACCATGATATAAGCGACAAGGCACATAGCAAAAGCTATCAACACTGTCTTCTTAGAAAATCCATTCCAACAAGATTGAGAATCAACAACAAAGATTATCAATTAAAATTTTCGCCCTGGAAAAAGTATAAAAAATTCAATTGTTCATTTAACCAATATACTTAAATTGACTAAAATCATGAGAGATAATTTTTATTTCTAGCCTTACTAGAGTAAAACAAAGTAATAAACAAGTTTTTACTTTTTTGATTTGATACTCTCATATGTTCTCCTAACCACTTAGGAAAAATTTCAACGAACAAAGAGAAATGCAACAAAACCACTAATGCCATAAGAAAAATCAGAAAAAGTAACAGAACCATGCACAGGAAGAAACCTCTACAATTGTAGAACTGGATAAATCAATAATAAAAACTGCCTGGTAAAGTCTTAGAACCCGCAATCCTAGATATTACGATAAACTTCTTTAAAAAATTCTAAATGAAAATATAATGCAAAAAAAAGCCTCTCACTTTTAACAGATTTAAAAACCTTCAAGAAAAAAGAAAGGAGATAACTTGGTCGGTAAAAATAAAGGCAGCCAAACACCCCAGACGCATTATTATAAGCTTCCTTGCTCAAAAAACCAAAAATGTTGTATTCGTGAGACAATAATAAAAACTAGAGTAGAAATATAATAAACAAAGTTCCGCACACCAATAACAAAAAGGTGAATTATAGGAGATGCCACAATAGAAATAACTCTAAAGTCTATGACATAGGACCTATCATGAAGTCATGAAATTACATGGCAGAATAAAGAAGCTTAAGAAGCTGAAGCATTTTCAGAAATAATACAAGCTAAACGAAAGAAAGAATTTTCTGACTCAAGCCAAAACTCACTTTACTTCGTCCGTCTTTACATAACCGGGGAGACCGCGTATAAAAATAGTATGTTTACTCTCTGGTACTTCATCTTGATTAATGCGATCGAAACGCCCAGACCCACGATAATATCCGTCCATATTCACTAAAAATAATCCAGGTTACATAATCAAAAAAATTAGAATCTTTATTACAATATGCTTAAGTCCACAAAAAAGAAGGGAACAGAATACAGTGCTGCTAGAAACCAAGGCACTGCATGAATTAATTTCAGCAAAAAAACCTACTTCTTATCTCATGGAATATCTTTCAAAGCCAACTTTTTTATTGATTTTCTGAAGCAGCCAAAATGATGGGGCCTTATAAAGACTCCAGAGTTAAAAAAAATTAAAAGTTATCCCTTCCACAAGTAGTGTAATGGTAAAACAGATAGGACTTTTTCTGGATAAGAGTTTTCTTCGAAGAACACTATCGAGTTTCCTAGTTTGAGAGTATTTATAGTGGCTTAGATTCTAAATCCAGCAAAACAACAAAGCTAATTTTTAAAAAGACAACCTAGTAATTTGTGAAAATGCGTAGCAACAAGCTTTCTAAAGCTTCAGCTTCTGTTTAACAGTTTAAAATACAGGTCCCAAACAATCATTAAAAGATCCTGAAAAGAGTCGATTAACAACAATTTTTGAACAAGCTTCGAAATTCGAAACACTAAAAATAAAATTGCTACCTCTCACTGAACGACCAACGAGAACAACGACACTCAGACATACTAGACTTGGAAAAAAGCTTCAGACCAGCCTGCTTTAGTCCCGAAAACTTTATAATTTAGATGCCGATATTATTACTCAAAATGAAAATTGCTGAAATCAACAAAAACACTGTCAACGTAAAAATATGGACTTATTCTCGTGACAGAAAATTAACACCTTCAGACCAGCAACAACGACGTTCAAATAATATGAACTACAAGAGAAATCGGCATAATTACCAGCGCCGCGATCATTCCTATTAAATTACTACTCATAATTTCATAACTTCATGCACTTAGAAATGAGCGTAACGTACCCAGATGAAAGAGTTCCCCAGTGAACAGTGTTAATCCCTCACCAAAAACAGTAAGCAAAATTTTTCCAAAGAAGCTTCAAACCTATTTCAGACTACCATCCTTTCTCAATTAATGCAAGATCTTCGTCTTCTACTCTAATAAACCCACTGGTCGTCAACAGTAACCCAAACCAAAACCTTGGTGATGCTTAAACGGCGAGGTACGCATCCCCATAAGATGCCCTTATATACAGTCCAACTCATAAAACAATTCGTTAGACAGAACTTTGGAACCTTTAGACCTGCATAAAAATTTGAAAACAACTTCCTTGTCCAGAACTAATTTATAAAAAAAAAGAAAAAAAAAGCTGGTTTCTCCAATAAACCTTGAATCCAGTCCTACAGCTTCACCCGCTGCCAATAATATTAACCATTTTAAAGGAAGCAATCGAAGCGAACAACCCTCTCAGGAAATCTTTTGAACTAAGACACCACCATAAAAAACTATTCAAGGTGTAAATGCGTTACTGGTATTCTGTACAAATTCCGTACAACTGTACATTACCTGGCTTTGTACTAGCAAAAAAATTTACTTTCCACTTTCGTCTTTAATCCTGAGAACCTAAACTCACCATTTTCAGTAAAAAAATTTTGGGACACTCAGCCTTTTCCAGAAAAATCGGACCTTGAAAACCATGTACATCAGCATGGACATAACTACGAAACCGAAAATTAATCGCAAACGTTTTGAAGATGCTAACCGGGAACTAATCACAAAGATTTTGTAGAGGCTCTGAAGATTCCCAAAATAACTGATACCCAGCCTCATTATTTACTAAACCGTAATGGTCAAAAATTGAGAAAACCATATTAAGAATAATATCACTCATAACAAAACCCCAAGCGATGTAAAATCTGCATTTTCTCCGGAGCAATGGAAGAGAAGAATACTAGCTTCACCAAAATTAACATTATAAATCAAACTACTGGATTCTCCAACCCGTCCATACTAAACCAGAACTGAATTCTCTTACAAAAGCCATTTAAAAATCCATCACAACGTGAAAGCATCTACTTAGGCCCACCAATCTCACTAAAGTTCCCAACACTACTGCCGTCACTTTCAACAAGAAAGCTGACTATCCTATCAGCTGATAAATGTGATGCACTGTCCCTCATCAAAAAACAAAATACCTCAATAAAAAAGCAAGTCATCAGAATTCGAATATACCAAGAGTGGCAACGACTCAAACGTCTTGAAATTCTGAGTGATTTAATGAAGTGCCTCGTAAAAACATTTATTCCTGTCATATTTACAGAGAATAATATCTTCCCAAACCAATTACAGATTTAAGAACAACAAATTATGACACAAAGGAAAAATGCAGTAGTAAAAATATCGAACAAATCCTACCCATAAAATTCAAGAAAAAACCCGACAACTGCCCACACTTTGTTCACTGAACAAAAGTACTTCTTGAAACACACCACATAAAACATAGGATGCTATTAAAAGATTCTGAGACTTGAGAATGCTTCGTGTGCAACGTTGAGATAAGAAACCTCCGTCTGATACAACGAGAAAAAGCTTATGACTGTCACCTCCTGATAAACGCTGTCAAATTTTGACCCCCTCACCCCCCAACCCAAATAAAGAGAAAAAATAAAAATAAAATTTCCAAAATTCAGGGATAGTTTCATAAAAGCATTAATTCTTAATCACCCTGACCCTTTCCGAATTACTTTTTCTTAGACAGCGAGAAATGATTGCACACTTCTGAATATAACAAGGAAAGCTACTACTAGAAATCAAGCATTTAGCAATACGACGACCAGGCTAATGAATAACAAACCAACAAAGTTAAAGATAAAAATCAGTTCCACAATCAGCTCTGTGTTTGCTGCTATACAAATAAAGATTGCGAAAAATCGTAAACTGACATCACAAGCAGTAAAACCAAATAGCACTTGATGAGGAAAAAACATTGGGCTACTGCCCTCTGCACATAAACATAAGTTTTCAGCTTCCCCGAGTGAATTAAAATTATAAATGTTTCTCAAAAATAAACAGAAATCAACTAAAAAAAAACATTTACACCACGCGAAAAGATTCTTTAAAGATACCGCGAAATTATATTTCATTAATGACCTTTCCTCTCAAGAAAACCAAATGAAAATTTCTAAATGTAACTTCTGCAACTACTCCAACATGTCTGCATTTATTTTCTACAGGAATAAACGCGTAAAGATCTACAAAAAAATAAAAAATCTTCATAGTCGTGGTTCCAAACATTCTGCGTAACTTCGAATCCGCATATTGTGAATTAAAAAGAAACAAAGCAATGTAATCAAAACACGGATGGAAACGAGCCGTGGTTAAAACACGTAAAAGTCCTTAAATTAAACTACATATATTAAACTGGCAATAAACGCAGTTACCACAAACTCATTTCCGATTCTTGCACTTCAACATTTTTAAAGTTTTCACCATCAGAGCACCCTTTTTCGGAGCTACCTTCTTTTTATCTGAATGAGCTCCAAGCATAGATGTAGTATTGCGGACAGCTTGTGGCAGATTTTGTAGTGCGTCTTTGTTTCCTAAAAAGTGACAGAAAATAAATAAAAGGAAGACACACTTCATCTTCGCTGACACCTTTCAAAATATTACAGAAAAATTAAGCACAAAAATATCTGTAAATAAGTAAAAAAAAAAGTCCACATGAACAGCTCTTCACAACTGTCACGTCACTACATATAAAAGGAATCACGCAACACTTGCCTCGTTCAAAAATTGCCTTGCGGGCTTTACTAAGTTCACTAGCCGATGGAAGATCTTTATGCATGTGCCCCGTGCCATGACGGATCTGCCGGCGCCGAACTTCGCGAGGAGCTTTAGCCTCAGCGAGTATTGCTTTCTTTACTGGCACCGCAGACTCCTTATTATGCTGAGTAATACGTGAAGAAATTGATCGTAATTTCCACTCTTTCTCCTCACAGAGGCGCTTAAACAGATGCGTTTAGTAAAGTAAGTGCAAACAGTGAAATAATAATTCGAAAAGCCTGCGAGAAGTCAATAAAGCAAATTCAGGAGATCAAGAGAACTAAGACCACAAAATTGTTACTTGGTAGCAATCTCGCCATAACTCTTCTTCTTTCTTTACGCCGCTCGGAAAACTACGATTAACAATTTTTTCCCATAGCTCATCAGACTCCTCCATTAAATACTAAAATTGTAATGAGATTACCAAAATACCTTTTAAAAACAATATACTTCTACTAGACATATAAGCCGACCCATAAAAAACAATTTCCAGCCCGCTTGTGACAATATTCAAGTTGAAGACGAAAACAAAACTACGGAAAAAAAAAA